AAAACAGTAACTGAGCAGTCCTGTAGATTAACTCAATCTAAATATGCAAAGGAAACACAAAAACTGGAAGATTGTATTAAAATGACCTGGCTGCTTTTTTCTAATTGCTTTGAAAACATTGTTCCACCTTCAGAAGAAGTGTTCATTCAAGTCTCTCAGTTGATCCAAACACAGGAAGCTGTTATGTCACCCTGCCAGCCTGCCCCATTTTCTACAGCTCAGAAAGACCTCCCCTTATCATCAGTATCCTTTCTCTCCCCTCAGTCAGAAACACCAGAACTGTTGGGAGCAGCAGCTCGGCAACAAATCCTGTTATAAAGGGACCTGTGCTTACAGAGGACACTGACAAGGATGGCAGGATAAGAGAACAACATGAAAACCTTCAGATAATAGCATGCAGAAATTGATGAGACTGTGAGGGCATAAATGGATCATCACTATCTGCAATCACAAAAATACAAAGACGCTGAGAGGCAGGCTTTTAGCCAGCAATGTGTAGAAGCTTACATTGGTTGCCTTTTTAATAAACATTTTTTAAAATTGTACGCCCTATTTCTGTGCTGTACGAAATGTCCTGGGTCGCGAGTAGCGAGTAAACAGGGAGCGATTCTTGTGGGATGGAAGAAGGAAATAGAGAAAATGAAGAAGTTTGGAATAGAATACGATCGAAAAACTAAAAAAAGGGGAATCCAGTTCAGAACAATGAAGTAATGAACAATCTACAGGAAATTAAAATGATTACAAAGTCATATTCAAAGTAGTTAATCAGGGAGACTCTTTTGCAGATTGGAATCTGGTTCAGTTAACAAAATAAAAAAAAATAAAAACTTGCAGAAGAAGTCAGAAGTGCCAAAATATTATAAAGAGGAGACCTGTTTAATCCACTGCAGAGACAGCGTTCAACGAGGCAAAGCCATATGAATGAACAAGATTGAGGGGAAAAGAGCTCAGAGAACAAAATGATTAGCAGGGGAGTCATTGGAGGAGCTCCTCTAAAAGTAACTCACAAAGAGATTCTAGAAAATGTAAGTGGTGCAAAAGTAAAAGAGGTGAAACGGTCTAAAACAAGAAGAAATGTAGAAACTGAGACAGCTTATCAGTATTAATCAAATTTGAAGAGGCGCAGTTACATTGGAAAAAATCGAAATCTAGATAAGTCATTTTTTCTTAAAATAAGTGCATTTGCTCTTGGATTGAAAAGGTAAAAGAGTCATTTTGCCAATGGAACAAAACAATTTACATTTAAAATAAGAAAACACAGTTGCATTGTCTTATTTCAAGTTCATATTATCTTATTATCTTATTTAAGGAGTAAAAATACTCATTCCATTGGCAAACTATCTCATTTACCTGCTAAAATTAAGGGTAAATTCACCTATTTTAAGACATTTTTACTGATTTCTAGATCATTTTTCCAGTGTACATGTGAATTTAGTTTGCCTGTTAGTTGGTTTATTTGAAAGTTCTAAATAAAACTGTAATCTCTAACTACAAACCCATCCCTTCTGTGTTGACACAAATTCTAGTTTGTGGGTATGAGTAAAAAGTGTTGAAATGATGTCATAAGGCAGAGCGTGATGTTAAGTAACAGTGTACCACCGAATGTCAGGCCAGTCAGAGAGGGAAACACAGAAGAAGCTGCAGTTGGACAGAATGCAGTCAGCGACAACAAAGAGGCCTCAGCAGGCAGTAAAACAAAGAGCT